GAGAGTGAATGTGTGTGTGTATTTTTGTGGGGATCCTGGCAGTTATTTTTTGTCTGATCACCTGAATTACTTCTGTTCTCCCTCCCCCTCCCCACCAAAAAAAAAATTATAGGGAAGCAGTGGATTCTAGTAGATTGAGCAGTGGACTGTGACTCAGGAGATCTGGGTTCTATTCCTGTCACTGGCCTAGCAGGTGACCTTTGGCAAGTCCCTTCCTTTCACTGTGCCTCACGTTACCCCTCTGTAAAGTGTGGATAATGATACTGATCTCCTTTGTAAAGTGTAGAAGATCTATGGTGCTCTATATAATTATTTATTACTTTGTTTCATAGGAACCCATGTAAATTCCAGGAGTAAATTGGTGCATTGAGAAAAAATGTTGTCCAATGGTTGTATCTGATTTTCATGTGCAATTACACATTCGCTTAAGTGCTGTCCTTCCTTTATGGTGGCACACATGAACAGGAAGTATGTTTGTGCTTCTATGTGTGAATTTTCCATTTTGAATTGGGGACATAATGAACACAGACTTGTACTGACAGAACTGGGACTGGCTTTCCAAGGTCTCTTAGTTTTGCTTCACTGCTCATGATAAACACTGCCTCTGATGTGAGCACATGACCAGCCCAAATAGCCTGTCAGTTGTGGGGTGGCATTTTCCTATGGAACACATTCGATTAAACTATTTACTGTGCTTTGTGTGGGGGTGTTTGCACAGATTCACCCTCTGAAGTTGAAAGCCTGTGCACTTTCACACTGGCCTGTCTGTCATCAAAGGCTGATTTAATTCATATGATGACTTATCTTTGTGTAAAATCGCATCTTAGTGTATAGCTGATTAAACCACTTATTTGATAATAGGCTTTTATGACTAAAAATGTTTTTTCTTACATAGTAGATTGCACAACAAATAAGAATAACACATTAAATTAGATGCTTCCATGATAGTCTAAAGTGACTTTATTATTTGAGCAGACAAAACATCCAATGTAATGGGGTTCCTATTGATCTTTCAGTGTTAATTAATTTGGCCCATAATTATATCCTTTTGTAACCTAAAATGTTCTTTTCTGCCTTCAGGGTCAAAATCAGGTCAGGTGATTGGGGAAGTACAGTCACATTTCTGTGCACCGCATTCACCGATGTTCAGAATGACCTTGAAGCATTATCTAGCAGTTTGAGCCAAAAATTGCCACTTGCTTTGCTGAATTGGGGCTTTCAGCAGCACTAAGCCACTTACTAAAACCCAATGGGATTTAAGCACATGCTTAAATTTAAGTATGTGCTTAAGTACTGGGCCTAATGCTCTGATCCTACAAACAGTTACATGTGCACTTAACTAGATGCATATGAGTTGTTCCATGGAGGTCAATGGCACAACTCACATGCATCAAGTTAATCACGTGCATAACTGTTTGCAGTACTGGAGCCTGCTTGAATTTCTCTCTTTTCTTTTCTTTTCTTAGCTCAGCAAAACATTTATATTGTGAATTTCTATGAAATAAAATCATATTTCTCAGCTATAATGCGATCTGACTCAATAAGCCCCAAATTATTCCTATCATGCTTTCAATGCTGCTGACAAAAGCAACAGAAAGAGAGGCTCTGAGTGTTAACAGCCAGTTGTTTTGTGAAAGTCTGTGTACTTTGTAGTATCATCAAGGCTGTGGGAAAGTCCATACAGTGACTGGATAAAGGAGCTATGAATAGGAGAACACCAAACAGGTTATCAGTTGAGTTTCTAGGCTATATCTACAGCTGCAGCTGTGCTGCTGTAAGTTCTCCCCTGTAGCTGCTCCATGCTGAAGGCCTGGGCGCGAGCTCGCCCTTTGGCATAATGAAACCACCCCCAACGAGTGGCAGTAACTATGTCGGCGGGAGATGCTCTCCCACTGATATACCACTGTCCACACCCCTGCTTCTATTGGTGAAACTTATATTGGTCAGGGGTTGTTGTTTTTTTTTCACACCCTGACCGACAAAAGTGCTAGTGTAGACATACCCTTACCTTCAACTAGCTTCTCTTTCCTTTCAAAGATGTAGCTTCTCTGCTCACTTTCCCTTTGCGGCTCCCTGGATTTGCTACCTTCCATTTCTTCCATACCCTAAGGCCTCAGCTACACTTAAAAGTTTTGCTGTAAAGCTGTACCTTTATAGTGTAGACAGAGGTCTACTGATTATCACTTCAAAAGGTTTTTTTCTCTTACTTAATTGGCCTCTCAGAGTTGGTAAGACAACTCCCACCTGTTCATGCTCTCTGTATGTGTGTGTATATATATCTCCTCAATATTTATTCCACTCTATATGCATCCGAAGAAGTGGGCTGTAGTCCACGAAAGCTTATGCTCTAATAAATTTGTTAGTCTCTAAGGTGCCACAAGTACTCCTGTTCCTCCTAGTGTAGATACAGTTATACTGACACAACTATGTTTTTGCTGGTATAGTGATTTGGTGAGTGAAATAAACTGTTCTGGCAAAAGCACTTTTTGGCCAGTATAACTAGTGACATAGCTATGTCAAAAAATTTTTTAAAAAAAATCACACCCCTAACTGACATATTGTGCCGCAAAACTTCTAAGTGTAGACTTGGCCTAAGCCAGACCTTTTCACCACAGTGCCCACAAACTTTACCCTCCGATTCCTGTCATGTCCTAAGTGATAAGCCTGACCATTCCCCATCTCACCTCAAGACCCAAGGTAAATAAACAGCGCATCATGCATACTGTGTGGTAGCTGCCTCAGGAACTTCCCTTCAGAATCATGCCGATGGCAGCACGTCTCTAAAATATCTAAATCGAGTAGACACTTCTCTTTAAAGCTTTTCCTCTTTCTCAAAAAGGTCATTTACAGATAGGTGAAAGATCAAGCCTACAATTAGAAATGCGGGTAACTCACTACATGTGCATTTACATACATAACATACAGATGAATATTACACACAGGCAGAGGGTACAGGCTTGTTAAGCCTCAGTTAGTACAAAGGTAGGAGATGTAATTAAAACTGTAACATAGGATGTTGAGGTTTCTAAGAACAGGATTGTTAAGTATTAACTGGGATGGTGACTGGTTAAAAGATAGGATCAAAGGATAGAAATAAACGGTCAGTTTTCACAGTGGAGAGAGGTAAATAGCAGGATCCCTGAAGGAGCTGTACTTGGTCCAGTGCCATTCAACGTATTCATAAATGATCTGGAAAAAGCGGTTAACAGTGAAGTGTCAAACTTTGCAGATGATACAAAATTATTTGAGATAGTTAAGTCTCAGATCTGACTGCAAAGAGTTTACAAAGGGATCTCACAACACTGGGTGACTGGGCAACAAAATGACAGATGCAATTCAATGTTGATCAGTGCAAACTAAGCACATTGGAATACATAATCCCAGCTACACATACAAAATGATGGGGTTTAAATTAGCTGTTGCCACTCAAGAAAGATATGTGAGACATCTGCTCAGTCAAAAAAGCTAGCAATGTTAGGAACCATTAGGAAAGGGATAGATGATATCATAATGCCACTACATAAGTCCATGGTACACCCACACTTTGAATGCTGTGTGCCATTCTGTTCACCTCGTTTAAAAAAAAGATGTATTAGAATTGGAAAAGGTGCAGAGAAGGCAACAAAAATGATTAGGGATATGGAATAGCTTCTATATGTTCAGCTTAGAAAAGAGATGACTAAGTGGGGATATGCTAGAGGTCTATAAATCCATGAATGGCCTGGAGAAAGTGAATAGGGAAGTGTTGGCCAAGATGATCAGGGAGGCAACCCCATGTTCTGGGTATCCCTAAACCTTCAATTGGCAGAAGCTGGGACTGGACGGCAGGGGATGGATCACTTGATAAATTGCCCTCTTCTGTTCATTCCCTCTGAAGCATCCGGCATTGGCCACTGTTAGACACAAGATGCTGGAGTAGATGCCATTGGTCTGACCCAGAATGGCCCTTTTTACATTCTTATGAAAAAATCTCATATGAAGAGAGATTGAAAAGGTTGGGATTGTTTACCTGAGAAAAACTAAACAAATCAGAAGAGACAAGAGAAAAGTATATAAAATAATGAATGGTCTTGAGAAGGTAGATTACGAGTTTCCATAACCCAAGAACAAAGTGGCATTCAGTGAAATTAAAAGGTAGCACATTACAAAAAAAGAGCTATCGAACAAAGGATTGTAAAATGGGTTCAGGTTATGAAACTTGCATAGATCTGACAGTCTATTGGGATGCAAAACAAGTGTAATTTACCTACTGAGAGAACAGAAATGAAGTGTAGCAGTAAAAACAACTGATGGGGGAGCAAAATGAAATAGGGAGTGCAGCTTTATCTTATAATCACCAACTATTTTTTTTCCCTGTTAGGCTTGTTTTTTACACACCCACACACACACCCACACACACACCCACACACCCTCTAAATTTGAATGAGTTATTACTTTGCACGTCATACCCATTTTCAGGACTCTTACATCTGATGTGCAGTTTACTCTACTATTTTAAACCACCGTTGAATTTAGACTACAGATTTCCATGGGATTGCACCTTCTTAAACCTAGGATTTTTAACCACTTCAGTGCTGCAGGCAGCAGCTGTCTATGGTATTGTCAGGCTTTATACTGGGTACTTAGGGAAGCAGAGTTCCTGGATCTACTCAGTGGCCCATGCAGTATTAAAGGGTGAAATGGTCCCCTGAAGTTGATTTTGCTGATTATAATGATGTTCTTCAAGTTCTTGCTATGAAAAAAAAATCACATGAGAATTAGGAGAAAGAATGGGTATTAATTTAACTGTAATTCAATTACAATGCTGTTCAGTAATAAGGAAAGTAATAGCTTCACTTAGGCATAAAACTGGTGGAAGTTAATTAAATATACAGCATTTTAATGCCAAAATATTTGCCCTTGCTATAGGTTTGGTGTTTCTCCAAAATAAAAAGCCATGATACACTCCTTTTATTCTTTAGACAGGAAATATTTTACTTCGTTTTGTTTTGTTTTTACAGAAATCTGTTTCCTTCCAACCTGGTTGTTGCAGCTTTTCGAACGGTAAGGCCCACGTAGCTTTCAGAAATGAGTTGCGCTGAGCAGGCAGGCCAAAGGAATGCTGGCTTCTCATAAAAGACTGGAGATGTGGTAGATTGTAAAACAAAACAAAACAAAAACCCCACCGCAATAATTCACCACATTTTCAAAAGCACCTGCAGTAACTTGGCACCTAGCTCCCTTTGCAAGCCAGTATGAGTTAGGTGTCTGGCTTTACCTTTTGCTGCCTAATATTTTTCATTACATCACTTGTCCCCAGTTCAGTCTCATTTCTCATCTGACGTACAGTGCTATGAGCTAAGCGTGGTAGTACACTAGCTGGCACCAGAACGTATGAACTTATTTAAACTAGATGAGCCTGAGCTGTAATGTTTGAAGAAGATGTTGGTTTGGGCCCATTTCTAATTTTAGATGTATGTAAAAGATACTTACTGCTGAAGATACTGTATTGCTATAAGTCAGGGTAATTCTTTCAGATAGCCGAGCTGAAAAATAACCATTGTTAGCTCCATTGTGCTCTTTTCTTCAAAGCAAGATCGAACTCCAAAATCGGGTTTCATATAAAACCATAAAATAGCACAGGTCAAAATCTCATATGAAATAAAAGTGGGAAATATAGCCACAGTATTCCTTGGTGTAGTGGTATTCTGTAATAAGGTTTAAGTGGGGAGATTCTGCATTTCTTTACGCTGTCATTGACACAATTCACAATTATTCAAATTCTTTGTTTCCTTATTTAAAAAAATAAAAATCAAGAGCCTTGCTCCTGGGATGTGTTTAATTTGGGCGTCAAAGTACATTTATGGCCTTGTTTTTGTGTGTGTTAATTAATATTCTTGATATCTCAATCTAACTTACAGGTAAGTTTTAAGGGTGACACTTACATTTGTATAGGTGGCCAATATAAGCACCATATACATTCCACTTAAGCCCTCAAAATAGGACGTTGGTGTTGCATAGGCCTTGTGCTTGTTCTCTGCATCAGGGTGAATTTCAGCCGGCTAGAGCTTTTCAGATAATGACTTCATTTACCTTAATTCTCTGGGCCATTTGCTGTCTGTTTTTCAAAGAATACTAATTGAAATCAGTACATTTGTCTGAAAAGCTGCCAAAAATATATTTGAGAGACAAGGCTCAAAAGCTATTCTCTCACCAACCGAAGTTGGTCCAATAAAAGCTATTACCTCACCCACCTCGTCTCTCTACTATCTTGGGACCAACACAGCTACAACACTGCATACCAAAAATACATGCCAATCCCAAAATACTCATCAGTTTTGAAAATGTAAGTCATGACTTTGAATTTAAAACTGTTTGGTATTTAAGAAATAGATATTTATAGACAATGTACTGTAGTGGGGAAGTTACAGCTATTGGACAACTTAAAGGAACACTGTCACTTTAAAGCTGTGCAGTAGAAAATTGTGCTCTGGTATCTCCACACAGGGAGGGCATTGTATACCTAATTGCTCCCTTTTCTTATGCGAGAAGGGCCAAAGTCAAGTTGGGTTAGTGGGCCTAATTCTGATCTCTATTGCACTGGTGTAAATTAGAAATAACTCCATTTATCCATTACCAGTAGAATTATTTCTGATTCTCACTAGTGTCCCCTCTCTCTATGCAAGTTTAGTTAGTTTGTAGAGATCCTTTTTATCCTGATTTAGAGCTTGGGCCCAGATCAAAACAATCTGGTGGAATCATACTGGTAACCTTACAGTGATGAAATGTTGTACTAACACAGATAGGGTCACAGTGATAATCTGATGGACAGAAAACGTGTTGTTTTTTGTATTCACAGTATGCAACGGATTATAAGATAATAGTAAGAAACATCTCTGTTGGAAATGTTACGTTTGAGAAGGTAAGGCAGTTTCTATCTATCTATCGTACTTATATGGCCCGTGTTACTGTAGTATCTGAATGTTTCACAGTCTTTAATGTCTTTGCCTCACAACATCCCTGAGAGGTAGGGAAGTGTTATTACTCCCATTTTATAGATGGGGAGCTGAGGCACAGAGAAGCCAAGTGACTTGCCCAAGGTCACACAGGAAGTCTGTGGAGGAGAAGGGAATTGAAATCACAGCTCCAGAGTCCGAGGTTAGTGCCCTACTCGCTGGAGGACTAATCCGTAGCCCTTAGTTTCTTAGCCCTTATTCTTTATAAACAAATACAAGAGAAGCTCAGACGTGCCTCTTTTCCTCCTTGCATTCTTTAAACCAGTAGGTTGGTTGGGATTGTTTCTAGTTACAGCTTCATTGCATCTTTATTTTATTTAATCACTGATTTAAGGCAGAAACAGTTGGTTCAAGGGGATGAACATGACAAATTAAAGCAGAACAGAGGCATATCTGCAAGTAGCCAGAAAACTACATCTGATTTGCAGGTGCTGGAGATGGGAGCCGTCCTTATTTTCAAAAGTATGGCCTGTGGAGACGTTGGGTGTTATTTCCAGAAGTGGTCAGCATTGGCCTACCTCTGCTCCCCACTCAGGGGAATCTTGCCCATAGGGTGAGATTTTCAAACATGCCTGTTGTTAGTCTTGTAAACTTAGTATATTTGACCTGGGAGTTATTTAGAGACCAACACAAGATTCCAGGATATTATTTTTCATGGTCACTTTCCCAAGCATAACAGCACTTTCAGCCCATTCTGTTGGGCGGGGCAGGAGGGGGTGTTTATCACACTGAATTTTTTAATCAGTTAATGTTTAGCTTGAATTTGGAGTGTAACGGGCCCCTGCATGCATTTCCAGTTCAAGTCTAGGCTCTCGCAGCCTTCACCAGCAGCAGCACCTCCAGCCTACTTCATAGCCTCTGGTACAGGGGGGTTGCCCACACTTCCTCTTGCTCTCTGCTAGCAATAGGGACTGGGGAAGGCAGTGGAGGAGAGGAGATAGGAGCTGGATCCTGTTAGTGCTGCAGCTACAGAGCCATGGCCTGCCTCTCCCTCAGGTTTTCAGCACCTCCTTCACCCCTGGCCGGTAGCTGTGGCAGCAGCCTTTACCCACAACCTAGACTGGCTTGAAGGTGCACTGGCCAGACTATTTTTCAACTCACCAGGATAATGAGACTGGGAATTCCCACTGCATTTCTTCTGTGGCTGGAGCCATGATTCTAATGTGCTCCAGCGGAGCAGCAGCTGTCGCTTGCCCTCTTCTGCTGGTTCTCATCCTGGCTGGCCCCTGGGGTCTGCAACCTGCTGGCATTTGGGATTCTCAGTTCTTGGCAGGGTGACCAGATGTCCCAATTTTATAGGGACAGTCCCGATTTTTGGGTCTTTTTCTTATATAGGCGCCTATTACCCCCCACCCCCATCCCAATTTTTCACATTTGCTGTCTGGTCATCCTAGTTCTTGGAGGCAAGGAGAAGAGTATTTCCTCCACTGCAGGATCTGTGCTTGGCAGCTACAAGCTTGTCAACTGCTTCCCTCATCCCCGTTTTGTTGTCGGGCCCCTCCCAGATCCTGCTGCCTCCAGAAGTCACTGTCTTCCCATTGGGTCAAATCCTGAGCAATGCTGACCCCTGAGAGATCAAACCCTTCCCCCCATTGACTGCAGTGGAAGTTGCAGGTACTCATTGTGATGATTCTCAGGGTACCCAGGACCGAGAGTCTCCACCGGCCTAGTTGCCACCCAAGCACTCTCCTCTGAGCTATTCCAGCCCTTACCTTGCCATTCAGGTTATCAGCAGGTGTACTCCAGTCCCTGTGTCCCTTTGAAGTGTTCAACCCCTTATCCGCTGAACACTCACAGAAATACCAGGTTTGGTGTCTACACACTCGCTTTTATGATCCAACTCAGGATCAGCACATTGCTTAAGATCACAGCACTGAGGTATATTTATAGAGAAAATAACAATAAGTTTATTATAAAAGAGTCAAGAGATAGTGAGTAAGGAAACTGGAAACAAAAGGTTATATATAAAACAAAACTATAACACTCTTCCTAGAGACTAGACTAGACTTAACAAGTTATCTTGCCTAAAGAAGCTTATCTCACCCAAAGTCCTCTGCAGCATTTCACCCAACATTTCATCCCGTTTCCATGACTGTAAAGGCGCTGCCCATTTATTTCCTAAGTGCAGGATCCGGAGGCATCTTCTTTGCCTTCTGCTTATATCCCCAAAGTTCATGTATGTTTCAGAGACAGCATAACCCCCATGGTTTGTTTTCCTATGTGCTGCCGCTGCCCTGTTGGCTTTACCTCACTTTGATAACTTCTGTGTAAATGGGCAACCATTGTGTTTGCTTACAATGCTTAATTAACATCTCAACAGAGACAGGTGAATAGACATCTTTTGTTTGACAGCCTATTTCTCCATCTCTGTTGTGATACAGACTCTAAGAACACATTTCAATATATATACATAACTCCTTACATGATATCTGTACATACATTTCACAACGATATCAATGACCAATGTGATCCTGGCTTTCATTTGAGACATCGCATGACATTCTTTGGTAAACCAGAATCTACGCACCAGGATCAGGATTATCCTTGTAATCCCCTTGCCAGTTGTCATTAAGGAGTCCTAGCACCTTACTCCAGGAGTTTGCTCCCACTGAGTAAGCTGCAGTATTTAAAGTATTTCACTACATCTTGAAAAAGATGGGGAAATGAAAAACGCCCACTGATAAACTCTTTGAGGAAGATCCTCTTAATTCCAGTCTCTAAAACTGCCTGCCACTGAAAAGCCTTTTCTTTTCTAACATTAGAGTGCATCACCCCTAAGAAACTGCCCAACAAAGCAGCATTATGGACACACAACAAAAATAACTTTCATGAGAGCTTTGTTCCCTGGCGATATACGGGACACACATGCCTTAATTTAGGCATTTAGCAGAAACATTATTGATCACTGTTCTGTTCCTCAAAACTCTCTGAAGATCCTACTGTTTATTTTTTAGCACACTGAATGAAATCTAAATCCCAGAAAGGGTCTGCTGAGAAATAGGCTATCCAATTTCAGTATGTAGTTAACCTCAAAAAAGATGTACATGTGCAATATGGTGTAGGCAAGAAATATAACAATTAAAACATGATTAGTATTAACTATATCACAGTAGCATCTGTGAATCTCAGTCCAGGGCCCCACTGTGGTAGGCAATGTGTAAACAAGTAATAAAAGTGACAGTCCCTGCCCCTGGAAAGTAACAGAGAGGATGCAACAGCAGTACAAAACAGATAGATGGGGTGGAGTTGAGTGGGAACATGAGATAATAAAATGAACATAGCTGAGCAGAAATATAACTCCCCTCTAGCATAATCCATAGATACTACAGAGCCTGATCCAGTAGCCATTCAAATCAATGAGAGGCTTTCCAATGACTTCAGTGGGCTTTGGATCAGGCCCGTAATGTCCTTAACATTGGTCGCACAAAAAGGGGAAGAAGGAAAAACATTGCCCCCATGTTAAACTGAATACTTTATATCTTGATGAAGAATACTGCTGTAAGGCACCTATCGCCTTCAGATCTAGTCTGGAGCCCATCTTGATTCTGACGCTATGTATTGTTAAAAAAAAAAAAAGCACCCCTGTCCAAATGTAACTATCATCCATCCATAAGTAACATGACAGCAGAGTTGAAATTCAACTGCTGAATGGTGCTTTTAGTTTCCTTTTGTCTGACCACCCATCGCTAGAGGCACTAGGACCACTCCCAGCAAAATTAAAGAGGCTCCAACCTGGCATAATTCCAGTGTTTGGAAAAAAACTTTTTATACGTGATGGGGAAAACTCTTTACAAGACATCACTGGCTATCACAGCCAGATATTATTGTCAGACTAAGAATACTTGATGGTGTTGCAGGAAACACAGCGTTCCATCCAACAAGAGCCCTGCAAGTTGTAAAAATTAAAAGAGAAGAGAACAGAAGAGAATTCTACCCTTTAAGCTGCCAAAAGTCGCATTCAAATCTTTTGAGAAAAAGAAAAAGAAACATGGTTTTCCAAGTGCATCCCAAAGCGTGCTGGGCAGCTGAATCCCAGTCAGATAAGTACAGTGGGCCTGAGTCCAGGCAGCTCACTGGGGTGTCAACTCCTGGCAAAATTTGGCCTGGTGCACTGGTAGTGAAAATTCTTCTCTCATTTGAACCAGTGTAAATTCGGAGTAACGCCACTGTTTATGTAAATGAGCATACATAAGTAAATATACTTAAATAAATCCTTTCATGTGAAGGTGAGAAAACTTCAAAATTTCCTGCAAAACGAAAATTTCAAAAATGGAACGTTTTGTTCTGATTTTAATGTTTAAAATTTTTATATTAGAAGATTTCAAAACAAAAGGTCATTTCAAAGTGAATAATCAAAATGTTCTGATAAGCTCATTTTGACCTTATTAAAATGATTTTTTTCCAAAATGAAAATTCATCAAAATGAACACATTCCCATGAAAAGTTTCGATTTCAACAAAAGGGAATTTTCTGATGTAAAAAATGTTCAGTTGGAAAAAATTTTTAGCAGCTCTACTGACTCCTTTTCTTTGCTGCCTGCAAGCAAACAGCCTGGAATCTGAGATTCAAGTTGGGTTCTTTCTGATCTGCGTATCACCTACTTCTGAGGGAATTCTACACCAAACAATTAAAAATTCTGTGCACAATATTTTAAAATTCTGCCTATTTTATTTGTCAAAATAACACAATATAATCACACCATTTTCAACGATTTGCTGACAAGTATTTTGAAATAAATTACCAAAAGGATTGAAAATGGTGTGATTATATTGTGACTGTGTTATTTTGACAATTAAAATATGCAGAACTTTGCAGAATTTAAATTTTTAAAATTTTTTGGTGCAGCATTCCCTCAAGAGTACCAGTGTTCTGTGTGGCGCAATCTGGGTGCGGGCAGCTCGGTCGGGGGTCTGGGTGCAGGGGGAATCTGGATGCACAGAAGCTTG